CTTTTCTAACATCGACTGAACATTGCCCATGACCCACAATCTATACATAGGATCATTAATGGATCACCAAAGTCTAGCAAATGAGCAAAGGGTCGCGGTCGCTGTCCCAGTATATAGATTTCATGTCCCCCTTGAGACAAAACCAAGTTCATACTTACTTGATGTAATCCATAGCTCGATGGAGCATAGGGGGTATTACTCGCACATGAACATGCTTCATCCTGAAAGGTGATACGCTTTTTCGAACGCAACTATCGATGTGCATACCGTGTGATGGTACAAATGATGAGGTTTTAGCCCTGTCGCTAAAGATCTCCATCACACACAAAGATCATACAGTCCCTCAGCTCACTCATCTGGGCATACTCCGACCTCATCAAGGGATAAACCATACAAACCTCATCAGTTTGTTTATCTGAACTCATGTCACATGGGTTTTCTCCAACCAGACCGACCTAGCATGTCAAGCGCAGTCCAATGTTAGCAAACATCAAGGGACCACACTCCCACTAAGTTCATATTCCACTATATATTTTATTTTTACAAACACTCATAAAGCTTTTAATGGCCACACACGTGTCCTTCTCATTTTCAAGAATTTGATCAATCAGTTGAGAAAGTAACATCCCAAAATTCAAGGTCCTAAAAATACTCCAAGATATAATGTTTATGGGGGATTGCTTGCATGATAGGATCCCGCGAGAGCACATGTTCTTTTCGCTTTTTTCTTTTTTTTTAAGGATTTTTGCATCTCACTGGTGCCCCATGCTTAGAAGATTAGTTGGTGTTAGAGATGAGATAGGTCCACACTCAAAGAAGAATTGAATGCTCAACCCCTAGGCTCTCTAACACGCTGTCTATTCTTCTCATTCTAGGTTGTCTCAATCACCCTTCTGTGTATGGTCATAGTTCCTTGTCAATCAATCAGTGAATCAAATAATTTTATATCCAAATCTATGTGACTTCATGATAATGTTTTTTATCTTTCATGATTGTTTTGTTTATTAAAGCAGATAATTATTAAACCCTAAACTCTAATCCCTATATTTCACTTTAATAGGTCGAGGTTATTAAAGTGTGTAGGTCTCAGCAATAATTATAGTCCCTGCTTGACCAATGCATATGCTTTGGAATGATTCTCCCCATAAAATATATATTCAAAGACACCACCTTTTTTTTTTTTTTTTGCTTTAATCGAAAGGATGCCGACCCTTTTCTCTTACCCACACAAGCAAAGTTAATACAACGGATTTGGTACGGACTCCCTACAGTAGGCTTTGGAAAAGGTTAGACCAATAATTCACTAATAACCTCTTTTTTTCAAATATAAAAAATAAAAATTTGAAAAATGTTTACACAAGGTTGCAATTAGAGGTGGGGTTGCATTATATGTACGTCGTTTATTTTATTTTAACATTATAAATTTGACGCTATCTTAAAAGATCCATTACTTTTTTTATATTGTTTTACGAGATGTATGAAATGTATACCGTTTAATTAAAATAAATGTTGTTGAACATCACAAATTTACTTCTATAAGTAACTTTATATAAACTGCACCTTTCAAATTGTGCTAAAGAACTCATAGTTGGGGCAAGGTACCATACCAATGTGATCTATCCATAAATCATAACTTATGCTTTAAATGTTGATTATGATCCTATTATGGTACTCTATAATGAGAAAATCTCTGTGTGGCCCAACAAACACATATACTGTATTTGGAGATCTATAGTTGTCTGATAAAACAAAAACAATGTCACAAAATTGGCACTTACAGTATTTATAACATTATAACGAATGTTGCTAGCTCATTTTCAACCATCCAATATTGACCTGGCAGTTGGATGTCTTCATATACACAAAAATCACAAATATTACACATAGTCATCTAGAAAGCTTACCCGTTTATCCTAGACATTCAGAAAAAAAAAAAAGAAAAAAAAAGAAAGAGCATGATAACATCAGGATTTACTTACATTTGAAACCGTAAAGAGATGTGGATGATGGACCAGATACATCGTACTGAGGAGGGGGTTGGACCACCCTATCCCTAAAAAAGAAAGGAGGATGGATGTGGACCACATGTCTCTCGTCCTATGTACATAACATACATTTGCTACTTTTTATTCCTCTCATAATTAGGTTGCCTTTAGGTATTGTTTAGATATGCTTTTGTCTTAGCAGGGACTTTCCAGGTTGCATTAGGACATGTGGCCTCAACTTTAAAGAGCATCCAAAGCATTTAAGAAAGCAATACCAAAATGACTTTTCCTTAGCCACCAGCCTTCATATGTTCTCATTGATTTTCCAACATGACTAAGAAAGGGCTATTTAGGGCCCAAATTTTAGGAATTTAACATCCTTAACCAGGTGACCAAATAAATAGATAAAAATAAAAATGACACACACTTTATATCTTCCTGAAAAGTACCAAGTCATTTACTATGGTATTCCAGCATTTTTTTTTTTTCGGTAATTCGGTGTGGATGACTGGCCCTATCAATTTTAGATTAGTTAGTGGTTTTTGAAACTGTCAATGGGAATAGAAGCCTCCTATTGCGCCTATATTATCGCCCGTCAAAATCTTTATATCGAAGGTAATTCGTTAATATGATCATAACTCTCAATCCACCAATCATTTGAAATTCTACTATTATTGCTTAGGAGGCGGTTAGCATGCAGGCAAGCTTGTACATGTACAAATGTTGGCTTGGTGATAAATATATTTTTTAATTATAACTTGATCCTAATTTTTAGAGATAATATAATATTTAATATAAAGATCATAAATATAAATAAATATATAATTTTTAAAAACTAAAAATGCTAATTATATTAAAAAAATATTTGGATGGTTAGATACAATTGTTTTTACATGGACCACCTATTTGCATCCATCTTTAAGATGAATGTTTTATACCTCTAGATCGTAAATTGTACAAATATAGTCCATCCTGCATGAAACCTATTGCTTAACCTTAAACGCCAAAAGCAGACGAGGGAGATAGGAAGGCGCATTTTTGAAATTTGATTACTCTACGTATTGTTGGCCACAAGACCTATTTGGATGTGCTGATAGCCATGTCACAGGTGAAAATAGGTGCTCATCCTTTTATACAAATATTGTGGTTTTTAATATAAGGAGGTCAAACGCTCTTGTCCATCGTATTTAAAAATGGGATTGGGGGTTGTTAGTGTGTTCTTAACTAAACTCAAAATTTAAAAATAAAATAAAATTGAACTCAATGACACACTTTAAGCCGACATCTTATTGCTAACTGCAATTGTGACTTCTTTGTACCAAAGATAACCTACACGCAAATGGCTGAGGAGGTTTTTTCATTTCAAAAGCTCAACTAATGGGTTTTCAAGATAAGGAAAAGATGCCACGCATGTGAGTCCTTTTCCTTTTGGTAATTTCTTAAACAAAAATGGAAATTTCTCTCCATACACTACACCCTAACTTTATAAGATGGAAAGGAGAGAGAGTCACATGCTAGCGTGGGACCACATTGACACAAGCAAATTGCTGCAAAATGTATTTGATATTTACCGTTTTGACTATTGAGGAAGGCAAAGCATATGATGAAAAGTGAAAACAAAAGTGTGAGAGAGAATGAGATGCAAAAATCTTGCTTTTATTGAAAATGTGTGAGCACATAAAACAAAGAAGCTCTCAATCAAACAAATGCCCGAAAACGAATAGGCTTACATATGTAACAAACATACAATGAGCAAGACATTGGCTGGCCGGGTAGCCCACCTTTTACCCCAGTTTGACTTTTCTATGGGAACCAATAATCTCACTCTTACAATAAATTACAAGCAAAATGTGCAAGATGACAACTACCGAACTCTCGAGAAATCCTCTGCACCCCAATTCAAAACACATAAGATTTTCATCGTGTGAGCCTTTATTTCCATAAGATGACCACCACATTCTAGAGGATCTCATTATTGCACTAAACGAATTAAAACCTGCAAGGGAAAACAAAAATGACTTAGGCACCAATGTGATATTAAGATTCAAATCCAACAATGCAACCACGGTTATCGGAAAATTTACCTGACGGAGTTTGTTGTGGAGGTTTCGGGCTTAGTAGACAGGGGGAGGTGGGGGAGAGCTGTAGAGGTATGGAGGGGGTGGGGAGCTGTAGTAGTAGGTTGGTGGAGGAGATGGTGAAGGGGGTGGTGGGGATATGTAGTGGTAGGGGGGTGGAGGAGATGGTGATGGTGGGGTGGGGATATGTAGTGGTAGGGAGGTGGAGGAGATGGCTCTGGGGGTGGTGGGGACTTGTAGAGGTATGGAGGTGGGGGTGAGGGAGATGGGGGAGGTGGGGACACGTAGTAGTAAGGAGGTGGAGGAGATGGCGATGGTGGAGGTGGGGAGTTGTAGTAATAGGGAGGCGGAGGAGACGGCGATGGAGGAGGTGGTGATTTGTAGTAGTATATGGGTTTGGTTGCCACAGGTGGTGGTGGGGAGTTATAGTAGTAAGGAGGTGGTGGCGATGGTGAAGGCGGTGGTGGGGACTTATAGTAGTAAGGAGGTGGCGGCGATGGTGATGGTGGTGGTGGGGACTTATAGTAGTATGGTGGAGGGGGCGATGGTGACGGTGGAGGGGGAGATTTGTAGTAATATTTGGGTTCAGCTGGAGGAGGCGGAGACTTGTAGTAGTACTTTGGCGAAGGAGGGGGTGGTGACTTGTAGTAGTATTTGGGTTCACTTGGCGGAGGTGGCGATGGTGGAGGCGGGGACTGGTAATAGTAAGTGGGTGTGGGAGGCGGTGGAGACTTGTAGTAGTAAGTGGGTGTTGGTGGTGGTGGAGATTTGTAGTAGTAAGTGGGTGTTGGTGGCGGTGGAGACTTGTAGTAGTAAGTGGGTGTTGGTGGTGGCGGAGATTTGTAGTAGTAAGTGGGTGTTGGTGGCGGTGGAGACTTGTAGTAGTACGTGGGTGTTGGTGGTGGTGGAGATTTGTAGTAGTAAGTGGGTGTTGGTGGCGGTGGAGACTTGTAGTAGTAAGTGGGTGTTGGTGGTGGTGGAGATTTGTAGTAGTACTTGGGTTCAGCAGGTGGGGGAGGAGGGGATTTGTAGTAGTACTTGGGTGTTGGAGGGGGTGGGGATTTGTAAGAGTAAACGGGTGTTGGAGGTGGTGGTGATTTGTAATAATAAGTGGGAGATGGAGGTGGCGGTGACTTGTAATAATACGTGGGTGAGTGGAGGTGGTGGGGACTTGTAGTAGTAAGTGGGGGTTGGAGGGGGAGGAGAGGGGTAGTGGTAAATGGGCTTGGGCTTGGGTTTGTAGCACTCGTGGTAGGGGGTCTTGGGCGCATAAGCAAATGGCTTTGCCTTGAGCACTATCTCCTCATGAGACTTTGATTTCACTTTGAGAGATGCTCCCTTCTTTCCATCGTGGAGATCAGTGGGGATGGAGCAAAGGGAACCTTTAGGGGCCTTGTAAAGCTTGGCCTTGCAAGCCTTTGCACCTCCCCATTTCTCATAATCAAATCCTTCAACATTTACCCTGAATTTGCCATTATTCTTTGTGACTCCATACACCATCACCTTCTTTCCATCAGCATCACAGCTAACCTCCACTATGGCACCTGAAAACAAAAGATAATGAATTTATACTCACACTTGCACCCATGTTCATAAAGTAAGACCCCACCCCAAAAATAAAAAAAACCATTTGTTCACACTTATGGAACGAAATGCATAAGAATCATTTTTCCCACTAAACATATCAAATAAATTATCTTACTAGCAAACACAGTTCTAAAACACAAGTAAATCTTTTAGTTAGGCCACACATAATATAAATAAGAAAAACATCAATCACGTACCCTTGAGATGTTTCTTGTCGTGAGATTTGTTGGGGTATCGCCAATCGTAGCACCTATAGCAATACACTTTTCCAACAACCACTAGCAACGGATAGCGATAGTGAGGATACGACGGTGGTGGTGGCGACTTGTAGTAGTATGGAGCGGGCGGCGCCTTCACTGGTGGTGGTGGCGACTTGTAGTAGTATGGAGCAGGCGGCGCCTTCACTGGTGGTGGTGGCGACTTGTAGTAGTATGGTGGTTCTGTCTTTACTGGGGGTGGTGGGGGAGACTTGTAGTAGTAAGGAGGTGGAGGAGAGGGAGATGGTGGAGGTGGGGATTTGTAGTAGTATGGTGGAGGTGGAGAGGGAGACGGTGGTGGAGGAGATTTGTAGTAGTAAGGTGGCTCCGTCTTCACTGGTGGCGGTGGTGGTGATTTGTAGTAGTAAGGAGGTGGTGGAGGTGGTGACTTGTAGTAGTAAGGGGTTGGTGGCGAAGGAGATGGTGGAGGTGGAGATTTGTAGTAGTACGGCGGTTCTGTCTTAACCGGAGGTGGTGGAGGTGATTTGTAGTAGTAAGGAGGTGGAGGATAAGGAGAGGGTGGTGGTGGTGATTTGTAGTAGTAGGGAGGTGGTGGAGATGGGGAGGGTGGTGGAGGAGACTTGTAGTAGTAAGGTGGCTCTGTCTTCACAGGTGGTGGAGGGGACTTGTAGTAATATGGAGGTGGTGGA